CACATTCTCATTCGTGGCTTTGACCTCTCTCGGCCGGCCGTCCTCAATGGCTACTTCATCAGCATCGGCTGGATCATCTTCTTCCTCGTTCTGGCCATTGTCATCTTCCGATTTAGATAGTCAGCCTCAGCCTCAGTCTCAGCAGTAGGATGCCCCCTCTTTTCTCTTTCTGTCTGATTTATCTCTCTCTGTAAACAACCTCCCTCTCCTTTTCCTTCCCTTCCCTTCCCTTCCTCATCCTCACTTTCAATCCAATGACATTTCAGACTATTTGTGTGATATAATATAAAAACTATTTACAAACTACTCTGCAAACGCCAAAATGATGACAATGATGCTATGCCCCTACTATCTCTCTTTCTTTTCGCTTTCTAACTAGTATGACCAGACCTTTTTATCTGTCCCCAGACAACTTGAAAACTGAAACAAACTTTTTCAAGTTCTTTTTTGCTTTCTAGACTTTTCCCTTTTCTTTTCCTTATTATTTTTGTCACTCTTATTATTATCTTGACGCCTAACTTATTTATTTTGCTTTTTTGTAAACAATTTCTTTTGATATATGCCTTGTATCCCTCTTTTTGAGCCATATTTTTTAGAACAATTTGAACAAACTCCCTCAGTGAGGACTGTTTTGTTTTTCGACTCTTGGCTCTCCTTGTTATCACCTTGATGATCAACCAATTGTTTCTATTCCTTTTTTCCAACGAATTTGCACTGTAATTAAACTTTTTCAATTAATAAAAACTAGTAATACTTCAATGTACAAAATTGTTTATTTAAAATTAAACAACAGTTCATTAACCATCTTTAACGTTCCTTTTGGCTGGTCAATCGGCACTGAGTGGCCGCTGCCAAAAAATCTCACAAAAGTGATGTTTTTTTCAAAGTTTTGCACAGTTCCGTAGACTCGACCTCGATCTTCAAAGAACCTCCGCTCACCGACTTTTCTAAAGTGCTTTAAGAAATGCATCATTGAGAGGTAGTTGCAAACGGCGTCAGAATCACCATTGNATTAAACAACAGTTCATTAACCATCTTTAACGTTCCTTTTGGCTGGTCAATCGGCACTGAGTGGCCGCTGCCAAAAAATCTCACAAAAGTGATGTTCTTTTCAAAGATTTGCACAGTTCCGTAGACTCGACCTCGATCTTCAAAGAACCTCCGCTCACCGACTTTTCTAAAGTGCTTTAAGAAATGCATCATTGAGAGGTAGTTGCAAACGGCGTCAGAATCACCATTGTAGAGAAGGATTCGCAGTCCTTTTGAAGCGAGGTAGTGAATGGCTGGTGACAGCGACTCTTCAGACTCGAGGTACTCAAAGTTTCGCGGGCGAATGAAAGCGCACATTTTCCAGGTTGAGCTGCCACTTTTTAAATGGGCGTGAATTGAACGCAAAACATCAGGTCGGTTGAAGTACCAGGTGAGGGCGGCTTCGTTTCCACAGGGTTCATTCGGGTTGCCGGCCGATCTTCGGTGAATCGAGGATTCAGGAATGTAAATTTCTTGAAAGGCTAGTTTGCTGTACGCTGTGCAGCTCCGTTTAAGGTTGTACTTCCAAAGTTTGGCCGTGTAGTTAGTCATTGGCAGCCAGGAAAAGTCGTCCACTCGGTAGACTTTGAGCGTGGGAATGAAGAAGGCTACATCGAGCTCCGGATCAAAGTCGCCATTGCCAATGACAAATCCACCAAAGTTCAGCGGAAATAATTTACTGTCAAGAATGGCTTTTGACAGGTGGACAATGTACCGGGATGCGTAGCTCTGACCAGCTAAAAAGAATTTGCGGTCGCCAGTAAACTGAGGAAACTTGGCAAAAAAGGACTTTAGAGCGTGAAAGTTTATTTGAGCCGTTTCAAAGTCATCAGTTTCGTATTTGTTTGCGTTAGTGCGAAACGAAAAGCCAACACCCGCAGGCGACTCAATGAAAAGGAGGTTTGCCTTTTGGTTCCAGGCAAAATTATTTGAGGTAAGAGTTCCATTGGGGTAGATGAGAATCGGGCCAACTTCGGCAAATGCGCCAAAAAGACTGCTACAACCAGGGCCACCGGATAGCCAGAGAAGTAGTGGATCACTTTGAGGATCAGACTGAGACTCGACGAACCAGTAAAAGAGATAAGTAGAGTTGAGTGAGGAGAGGTAGCCGGAAAAGTGACGAGATTTGAAGGGAAATGGAAGGGATGGAAGAGAAGTGATAAGGTCAGAGAGGTCATTTGATGAAGCCTGTACTGAGCAGACTTCCAACGCCAGGAAAATCAGGAAAAGCGCGCCAATGCAAATGCCCACTGATGTATTCATATTTTCGCACGCTAGTTCCTCTCTGCATCGTCGGCACCGGCACTGAACCCTCACATTGACGTCTATTTAAAGACACATACACAAACAGACAAACAAACAAACAGAACAGATCCGCATTCACCTTTGGCACAGTGTTATGATTACGAACAGTCAGTGACTCGCTCACACACATCTCTATCTGAATTCATCTGCTCATTTCCATCTCAATTTCCTCCTCCTCATTTCCTCCTTCTCTACACATGGGAAGTCTAGGAGACACACACAGGCACACTGTCTCTATGGAAATGAGCCAGCCTGCGATGAGAGAATGAGTGCCTAATGAGCATCTCCAAATTACCGTTTACACTTTCTCTCCCTCTCCCCGCACTAGATTGACTATTAATTTCATCAAGTTTGTCATGTGATGAAAGGAAAAGTGGAGAAAAGAGGAACAGTGGATAAGGAACAGTGAGAACAGCAACAAGATCGGCAACTAGAAGAGTGCTGGCAAGGCAAAATCAATTAGTCTAAAACGATAAGCCGACCATCTTAGTGCTCACCACCGCCACCACCACTACTACTTCAGGTAATCAAATGATTGCTAATGATGTACATTTTCTTCTTTTTCTTCTGTTCTTACTTTTTGCTTGTACCTTTTTTCTTTTAATGCTAGTAAGCACTCTTTCTCTCTTTCAGCCGCTTGCTCACTCAGCCAGCGCATTCAATTTCAATTCGAGTACATTTACTCCCTCTCTTTCTCTAATTCAATCTGAAAAGTATTGAAGTTAACTGAAAAGAAAACTTTGACTAGATTGACAAGAAAAAATTCTGATTTTACCAAATAAACTGAATGCCATCTAGAAAAATCGATTTTCAAGACAGATTAATCTGAAAAACTAATGGTTAGAGTGAAAGTTTAATGGAGCAAGCTTTAAGTTGACTGACGTTTTCAGTGCTTCAGTTCACTGAAATTAAAATGGTGCACTCGTCAGAAAAA